TTTTTTTTTTTTTTTGTTCCTTATAAAAACAAAAAATAAATTTTGTAATGTCACACGACCCGTGTTTTAAAACACTTAGAGCCCTTATCTCTACTCTAGTGTAGAATTTACTTTACTTTTTCAAAGTTCTTCTCCAACCGTTCGTGCTACATTTTACTCTACATGAATATTTATAATTTATTCTAATTATTTTAAATTAATTTTAATGACAAAATATAATTTAATAAATATATTGTCTTAGATATATTTAGTTATTTAAATTATTAATATATGATTAAAAAGTACAAATAAATACAACATTATTTATATTAAGATTAATTTATTTTTTAGAAGATTAATCAAGTGTTTCCTACAATGTCAAGAAAGTTATAGTGATTCTCAATTGGTAATCAAAGGCATAGAATTGTCACTAACATTATATATAAATTTCAAGATTTCTTTTACTAACAATATATATAAATGTCAAGATTATTTTATTTAGTATTAATATTTATAATTAATAAAATAAAAATGAAATTATAATTAAGTTATCAATTTTTAGTAATATATATGTTTATATATAAAAATATTATATAAAAATATTACACAAAAAAATTATATCTAAACAAAAAAACAATATAGTGATGAACCCTACACAAAAATTATATAATTTATATATAAAAGAAAAACAAAAAAAAAATATTGAGCGCAGATGAATAACTGCGCTATTGTGGAGCAGTACTGTAGGTATATTTCATATGGCATAAAAATCTAGCGCAGCACTGGACAATAATTTTCACACAACTCTGGGGTAGTGACAATAATTTTCACACAACTCTGGGGTAGTAAACAAATGTACTGTTGCATTGGATATGCTCTTAATCCGTCACGATTTAAATTGTGTTGCGTATTGCGTAAGCTATTTAGATATAAATTTTTATAGAGATATTATGAATATATTTGTATATAATAAAACTGGATGGTTGATTCCAAAAATTATTATAATATTTGAATGAACTCAAAAATAACACGTATGACTTATTTCTAACAAATGTTTAATATAAATATTTAAATAACAAATCGAATATATTAAAAAGTAAAAATAAGGAATGAAAATATAATGAGGTAAGTCATAGTATAATTTTAAGTATATTGCATTTAAATTATTATTTTTTATTTAACAACAACTTAATTCTAACCACTTAATATGAATTTTTATTCTTTATTCAAATGTCAAAAATCGAAAAATAAAATAATATAATAGAAGTGGACCGATAAATACTGTACCATTAAACTTAGGACTTTGCATTTTCAAACTTTTAATTTGAAATCATTATCAAAACCTTTAATTTTTAATTGTCATTTAAAAATATGACTCTAATCTTTATTTAATACGAGTCTTTGAATATTTTATTAATTAGATGTTGCTGCAGAAATATAGCACAGAATAGCTCAAAAATCAAAATAACATAAAAAGCGTGTCGTTTTAACATTTTGAGTAAGTTTTTCGATAAAATGATAAATATATAAAGTTGCGTCCGCGTTTTTCAGAGCACTCACAATGCATAGAGTCTCTTAATAAAATATCATATGTCACATAGGAAATAGACTTAGTCTATTAAAAAATGTCTCCCAATGCAATTAAAGATGGACATGGTATAGCTTATGTGGCAATAAAAAAAGAGATCAAGTGCACACTTGAGTCTATTTTGGACCCAAGTACAAACTCAAACACTCATCATTTATTCCTCATTTAAATTTTCTTTTAATAAACGAAACATATTAGAGCATTTTTATTAGTTGTCATGTGTGCTAGACCTAATATTTTATTTTTGCATTGAATTAAGTTTATTTATATGTCACATTTGTAAAATTAGATCAAATGCATTGTGGTGTTCTAACGAGCTAACAAACCACAACCAGAGCCAATTGATGAAAAAAAAAACAGCTATTGCTCCATACACACATACCATAAAAATGCACAAGTAACCATACTAAGTATGGGGGGAGCAAATGCATAAATGCCCGCATAAATTAATGAGTAAATTAAAACATCTCATTTATTTCATGGGTTTATTGCACGAAATCCCCCTGTATTATACGAAATCTGCGCGTTTTCCCCCTGTATCTTAAAAATTGCGTCATACCCCCTTGTATTAACTAACTGTTGCACGATTCCCCCCTCTCCGTCCAACTTACCAGCGCGTGGATCACACTTTCATGTACTGCGATAATTATTCATTTTTTTCATTTATTTTTTTATTTTAAAATTGAAATTACTATTTTGCCCCTACCTTTTCTACCAATTATTGGGCAAAAATTAATGTTTTGCAGCTCCTGAGATTCGAACCTGGGCCAAAACATTCATAGGTAAGGCTTCAAACCACTTGACCACCATCATTCTATGGTATATTTAACACAGATTCATTTAAACAACATGAATGACCGAAAACTTAATCAAATAAAAAATAAAATAAACATAAAATAATCGTTAATTATATTATATATAATTAAAATCGTTAATTAAAATAAACATAAAATAATATATATTACATTATATATATTATATATATTATATTGTATATATAATATAATCGTTTAATATAATAAACATAAAATAATCATTAATTAATCAAATAAAAAATAAAATAAACATAAAATATTATATATTATATTATATATATTATATATATAATATAATCGTTAATTATATATAGTATATATATATATATTATATATTATATAATCATTATTTAATAATCGTTATATATATTATATATAATATACATATAAAATATTATATACATAATATTATAATATTATATAATATAATATTATATATATTATAATAATATAATATTACATTATAATATAATAAAATATATAATATATAACGTTATAATATAATATATAATATTTTATAATATATTATTTTATATTATGTAATATTATATATTACATAATATTATATAATTTATATAATAACCGTTATATATATTATTATATAATATAATATTATATAATATTAAATAAATTATATATTATAAAGATTATTATTTAAATTATTATATTTATAATATATTATAACCATTATATATATTATATATATAATATATAACGTTATAATATTATATAATATAATATTATATAAATTATATATTATAAATATTATTATATAAATTATATATATTATATATATTTTTATATTTATAATATAATATATATATAATATATGATAGATAATATATATTTATATTTATTATTATATATATTATATTATAAATTATATATTATATAATAAAATTAAAAAAATATATACATATATTATATATATAATATATTATAATTAAATATATAATATATATTTAATATTTTATATAAAATATAATATATATTATATATTAAATTATATATATTATACATATAATATATATAATTTAAGTTATATAACGGTTATTATATAAATTATATATATCGGTTATTATATAAATTATATATATATAATATAATATATAATATATATTATGTAAATACATTATAAATAAATTATATATATATATATGTTATATATATTATTATTTTAACAGTAATTTTTTAGATTTATTTATATTTTATTTTAATTATCTTCTTTTGTTTAATATAATAAGTTGTTTAAAATAATTTTTTTGTTTTATTTTATATAATTTAATTTTTTTGTATTCTAATTTATCTTAAGTTTTTTATGTTTTAATAATTTAATTTAATATAATTTACACTATCTTTCAATTTTAATTTTATTTATCCATATGCAATGTTAATATATATTAAACGTTAACATATCTAACACATAAGCATGAGTGGTACAGTGGTTGTATGCATGCTCCTCCCTCAAGGAGGTCCTAGGTTCGAATCCTAGAGGCAACAATATATTTTTATTCAATTTATCATGATATATTCAAATTCTCGTGATATATTCAATTTCTCGCGATATACTGAATATATCGTGATAAATTCAATTTATCAGAAAAAATATATATATAATATTCAGAGGGCATAACGGGAATTTTACAAAAATATTAACGCCGTTAACAGGTAAACAGTAAAAGGGGAGAGTGTGCATGCAAACCTTAAATACAAACAGTAAAAGGGGAGAGTGTGCATGCAAACCTTAAATACAAAGGGGTATGACGCAATTTCTAAAATACAGGGGGAAAATGCGCAGATTTTATATAATACAGGGGGGTTTGGTGCAATAAACCCTTTATTTCATCATACACACTGTGTCTGCAGTTGAAGGCAATTTAATGAATGGAACAAAAATAAAAAAAAATACTTCCTCCTATTCATAATATTTGTCGTTTTGAAAAGTTGAACAGTTATTAAGAATATTTTTTTTGTCTATAATAACCCTCATTAATGAGGATAGAGATGAATGCTTTGAAAAAATATGAAGAGTGAAAAAATATGTACAAAATATCCAAAACGACATTTATTTTGTTAATAGTTGATAATGCCAAAATGACATTTAAAAAGAATAAGAGGTATTATAAAATAAGCAGTAACAAATCACCATAGCTATTGAAAATGTGGAAATTATAAGCCCAGAAAAAAAAAATGGAAAATGGAAAAAAGAAACTGAGCCATATGATTTTCTTCCGTTTCTCTCTGTGT